AAAGGGAAAGGGAAAGGGAAAGGGAAGGGAAGGGAAGGGAAGATAGACCACAATAGCAGAATGGGAATACTGACTGACAGCCTTGATCTTCAGTTTGCCACTCTACTGTATTGTATTTTATACACTCACACTAGAGACCTAAAATACTATTTTCTATTTAAATACCTCTTCAGTTGTAGCTGCCCAAAAAGAAAAGGGATGGCAAGTTGATTAAAGTGTCAGACTAGTGACTCATCCAGACAGCTCCCCTGTAGCTTAGAGTGGTCTCCTGGCTATTTTTTGAGTACATCCACAAGATAGTCAGGATGATAAAAGCAGGATCATGCCATCATGTCACAAACCCTGTCTCTTGTGATATGGCACACACATATGAAAGGAGCAAAGCTTGCAGTGGGATGGCATGATCCTGCATTCATCATTTTGATGAAAACAACAAGATCCTGCAGACACCCATGTCCACATCAGAACCTCTATCAAGAAAGTGGTGTTTTCTATCACAAAACAGAAGAGAATTTCCTACTTGAACTTTCCATGGAGGAGGAACATGGAGGAGGAGCTTGAGGGTTGTCAATTATCTGCAGGCCCACTGCAGGACTACCCCCTTCCTATATGGCTCTTGTTTTCATGGTTAATGTCTGGTCTGGCTGCTGGAAAGACCAGAACCCCCTCAGCAACCAAAGTTGTTTTCTGGACTCAGGGGAATAGAAAACTCATAGAACACTTTCTACAAACCTGCTATTCCTACTGGTAACTTCTGCAAAGCTGCCTGCCTCTCTCCCCCTGGGCAAAGCTGCAGCTACTGTCAGGAGAGCAAGGAGCAGAGAAAGGGGGAGGGATTCTTCTCCTTCTCTGTCACCTGTCTCTCCTCCTTGCTCCCTGTCCTCTACCTCCTGCCCAAACTGGATCCTTCACATTCCCTGCTCCTCTTTCATTTGCTGCACCTTCCCTCTGCTCACCAGTGGCTCATTGAATCAACATTTACTCGGGTAACCCAATTTTCTGGATTTGCACATCACACTGAACCATTAACTAACTTCATGATCTGGGTTCATCAACACAGTAAGCTAAAATGCAGATGACTAGTCTGTAGTTCAATGTGTCATGTGAAGTCAGTTTATGCCATCAGATTATGAGCCTTCACCAAGCCTTTTGTCTTACATCTTTAGCACATCTGGTTTTGAGATATGATTCAAAAATTACTGCCTTAATGGCTGGGATCAAGGTACAAGAAAGAGCCCACATATTCTTACTTGAATTTTAAGTCTTCCTCAGACTCAAGTGAGGCAAAGAGTAACCAAAAAGTCTTCCTTAGTGGAAGCATCCAGTTATGGAATGTCTTCCTTAGAAATACTTGCCTCTTTCTTTCTTTAGCTTAATTTGGTGCCAGAAAAAGTTAAAAAAAACAAAACAAAACTCCCAGGACTTCAGAAGATTTTATTGTCCTGAAGAGTTGTTTGTGCACTTTTTAGGTATCTGATTTTATTCCTTCAGCAAGAGATTTTTAGCTGTTACTTTTATGGTAATATATTTGGTTGCATGTTTCTGCCTTTCCTTTAGGAGCATAAGATGATGTTCCTTTCTATTGTTTTCCTTACAACAACCCTTGGAAACAGATTTGGCTCAGAGAGGATGATTGGCTCAAAGACCCCCAGTAAGTTGGAGACCATGACACACTTTGAGAATCTATGTCCATTAATGGATTCATCTCTTTCTTGTCAGTGCCAGAGCTGCCCTCTCACTGATCCTGCCCTTTTGGACTCAGTCTGACACACCACCCAAAGGAGGAGTCAAGGGAAGTGGAGGCTGCCACTCCTTCTTCTGGCTCTGGGTACAATTTACACTGCAAAAGAGGGCAGATGAATATGCAGCTCAAACCAGGACAGGGTGCTATGGTTGAACCTTGGCAAATGCCTGACCATACTAATCCCCAAATCATGCTTCTTTCTAAGAGGATAAACATTGCTGGAAACATAAATTTGGAGCAGCAGAAAGATGAAGACAAGAATGAAATCCAACCCAAATGGCTTGCCAGGAGAAAGGGAAAGCAGTCCCTGAAAGAATTGTGTAGTTGAGGCAGTGGAGCAGCAGTACAACCAGCCCACTCAGCCACAGCATTACCTTTATGGTTGCATTGCCATGACCACCCTTAGTACGCTAGTTAACCATAAAAAAGAAAAAAAAGAATATGCAGAAACTTTTGCTAGACCAGCACTTTCATAGAAACAACCATCTGCCATTAGAATAATACAGCAAAAGCATATTCAGCTGTCTTTAGAAGAAAGTTTAATAGACTTACCTATTAAGAGCTTTTAAGTTCTTCTCCATGTTCACAATATCACGCATTTTAAAGATGAACCATTTATCAATGTCTGTAAGTTTATGGATATCATCTACAGGAAAGTTTTCATTCAAGGCCTACCAGAAAGAGATGTTGATTAGTCATGGTTTCATGAATTAAAAACTGACTTGTTCCTGAACACTGCATTGAATGAAAATATGTGGTAGTTATTTCTCTCTTGTATCTGTTCTGAAATTTAGCTCTTTCTAAATCTAACTTCCAGCAACAGTTTATATGGACTGCTTTTTAATGCAGTCCATATAATCTGTTAATTTAATTTAACTAGTTGCATTTTATTTTGTTTTCACTGTTGCCATCAAAAAAAAAAACTTCATGCTTAATATTCCCTCCAGTGTTCCTTTAAAACTGTATGCTAGTTCCATATGTTAGAAATTATGTTCAGAAGTTTATAAAAGCTCATTTCAAAGTCTTAAATCTACAGAAACTGGTCCATATAATTGTAGTCAGGCACAGCTTTCACTTAATAGTATAAAATATTATTTCTAAGCTTTAGTTGGAGTCAAGTAAGGAGGTTTGCCCAAGATTGGTCAGATAAGTTCAAAAATTTCATATTCCTTTTGGAACAAAACATTGAACTGTCTTCCTGTATATTAGTTTTAAGGTTTGCAGGTTCCCTGAAACCTTAAGAATCAGCCTTATAAAAACAATCCGACCTATGATTATTGTCATGGATTCTGGCTGAAAAGGAGAGAAACACTGTGGACCTTCAGCAGTTTGCTTAGATGTTCAGTAGAAAGTTCCCCGTCTCAACTGAACAGGCAAGAAAGTTCAGTTCAAATCAGTTTAAATCTCACTAGAATTAGATTTCTTCTATACAACAGTGATTTTCAAATACACATTGCCTTTAGCTTTCAAACTGTGTTCCAGGGAATCCAGTGGTTCCTTGTAAAAAGATCAGTTGCAGTAGACAAACTTTCTTGGAAAGCTTGCTCACTACTGCCAAGAATCCTATATGAAGTGCAACTTCTGGAGAGTGAAAAGATGTGTTTTAGCAACACTGAGGGCCAACAGATCTGATTATGGCCCCAGCTGTACTCATTTGGCATGATTCAAAATTCCATAATGATGATTCAGTATGTTGGCATATTTGTTAAGATAGGAAATATTCCCTGAGAGAAGCAAACTTGACAACCACAATACTATATTTTCAAAGAGACCCTGCTGAAACGTTCCTCTCTGATAGGCACTACAGCATTCTTCCTGACCACACTGGTTTGTAAACAACCTGTTGATATCAATTTCTCCTTTCTTGTGAAGCCTTATACACCCAGTGAAGCAACTGGTTCCTTTCAAATGAGAAAATACATGCATTCATACAAAGCATCTTTTGACCCAATTAAAAAGCAATGGCTGTCCACAGAAAAAGAATAACAGCAGCTACCTAAATTATACAGAGTTGCTTACTCATAATTTTTGAATTAGACTTTACAATACCAACAAAGATGTAAACGATGTTCTCCAGGAAAAAAAGGGACTTTGGGCCCACTGAGGCACAAAAGGATATCCGCCTATTAAAACCTGTACAGGAATATGACTAAATTATTTAGGTTTTATGCTCACTGAGGAATAAGTATTAGCTTAATTTTCTTCATAGCAAGCTAGTTTTCTGTGGGCAGAGATTTGGATGAGCATTCATTCATGTAAGCCTCTACATGAAGTCTGAAGTAGTATACCCCAGAAGTATAAGTAAGATCTGAGTCCTGTAGCATTAGTATTGGCAACTCAAGAAACAATCAGCACCATCATATACCTAAAACGTAGTGACGGTTCATGTAATTTGAATGTGACTCTGCAGTTCTTTATCCCTATCTCTACTTCTACCTCTTTTTTAAACAGGAAAGTAGCATCCATAATACAAATTTGTAATTGCATCTTTTCAAAGCAGAGTGTCAAGACTCCTTCTCCATCTCCAAATGTTGGATTTTGAGAAAAGTGAGAGTTAAAGGATTTTTGACAAGCCTAGCAAACGGACTTAATATGGCATTGCGCTAACGGGGATAAATAGTTCATTCTTTAAGTGTCATAACAATTGTTGAAGATTTCTGGCCAGCAAGTTCCAGCCGTCTAGATGAATTTTAACAAGTAAAGAAAACTGAAATGTCAAAACAGAAAAGAATATAAAACATATTTGAATAATTCCATATTCTGGAAGAATCAGTGTCCGTTCTTCTTAGGTTGATGCCATAAGCAGACTGTATAATGGCTTCGGGGAATCTGAAAAGTAGTCTATTTTGGAGAAAGAAAATTAACAGCAGGCTTGTTCTTCCTGCTTCTTAATTATTAAAGATTTAGTGTAAAGGCTGCCACCAGACTACCTATGGTCTCGATCTTCATAAAAAAATTACACGAGAATGTTGGAGGTTCTGATACTGTGAGATTATTTCAACCAAGATCTTGTTTGGCATGAACAGTTTGCTCTATTAAAACAAGAATTCTGCCACATTCAAAATGTTCCACCTGAATATTCCATTCTCTTTGTTCTGGTCTCAGGAAAAAACATAGAAAGTGCTGATTTTCATCTTGAAAAGGCACTACTATCTGTCCGTTAAAAGAACTGTTTGTCTATTAGCTAGTGGCAAGATGAAAATTCAGCTATTTCTCACAGTACCTTGGCCACAGCGTACACCCGCGTGCTGGAGGCCTCAGATAGTTCTTTTCTGAGATCCACGTTACTAGGCCAGTCTTTATTCATTGGCAAGCATGACGTGAAGCCATCAATGGATGGGTGGCACATTCTTAAAGCCTTCTGAAAGCTCTCTTCAAAGGTGCGCCCAATAGCCATAACCTGAAACGAGGAAAGTCTTATTATTGTCATACATAGGAAGTGCTCTTCTGTTTCAGGATTTCTCAAGAAAAATAACATTCAAGTTGCCACCGTAAAAATAAATTAGGAGAAGAAGCATAAGGCAGAGTGATCTGTGCACAAGAACCTCATGTGTTGAAGAAAACCAGAGTACAAGATGTTAGAGATAAAGTTTAACAGCTTTGATTCTTTGCACCTAAAACTTGATTGACCACCTGGGATATTAGGAATAGAGATGGCATGCAAGTCCCTGTCTTCCTCCTAAGCGGAAGACTTTCAGAGTTTTTTTTCCTACAAGAACAGAATCACTTATTTCCTTTCTTCCATCTTCCCCTTCCCCCCACCATTAATACATTTATCAGAGACGCAGGTTTTCTCCTAGAGCATGTAAACTTTATCCTTAGTAAACTTTACTTATCTTTTTGGACCTGAAGCATCAACCTCTAGTTACTGTAAATAGGCTTGGTTGTGCTCACTCAGGCACACTATGCTACCCACCCATCCATCCCAATTAATTAACCGGAGAAGCCAAACTAGGGCTACATTCAAACATTTCACTACTGTACAAAATTTCTCTCCAAAGGACATGGGAGCATAAAGCCATCTTAGGAGGAGCTTTTGAACTGCTTTTTAAATACATCGGTAATTCTTTCAGACAGAAAACAAATGCAGCATTGCTCCCTCCTCTGTCCTGCTTCATGTCTTGGTTGTTTACAAGATCCAAATCATTATCATCATCATCACTTTATTACTACCAACACTACAACAAATAGACAACAAAAATATACCTTTCAATATCGAAATAAATCAATGTATCATAAAAGTTAAGGAGGAAATGCTATTTCAAATTCTATGGTGAAACTACAGAGCTGCCTGACAGAGCAAAGTAAGTTCAGTTCCTCACATTTGTTGGAGATCTATGGTTAATATTTTCCCCAGTTTTTCTGACAAAATTCAACCCTATTAAAAAAAAAAAAAATGGAAGGGAACATTGCACTCAAAATGCAGCTGACCCAGTTGCCCCCTCCCTTGCTTAGTTGATCCAGGATGACTGGCATAGTTAAGCATGAGTCGTTTTTACATCCTCTAAGCTGCTGCAAAGGAGGCTGACATTTTTTGGCTATTAAAAAAATGAGACCAACATTAAAATGATAAAATAAAAAGCTGCAGTGGCATGATTAGGGTTGGCACCACTGCAGACCTCGCCCCTTTCTTGAACTCAAAGTAAAAGAAAGATAAATAATGACTAGGCCTGGGCTGACTGGTGAAGATCCACCTCAGTTAGGCATCTTGCCTCCTGGAATCATTTGGTTCGCCCTCAGCGCAGCCTGTGTGGAAACAAGATCCATCTGCCTGGATCACCTGCTTCAATTTGGCAACATGGACTGCGCATCACAGTAGCCCCTATTAGCGATCAGATCAAAAGCAAAGCAGCTGCGTTCTGGTGATTAGAAACGCGGCATTGCTTCACTTTACATCAAAGGGCTGTTTCAGAGGAGGCAAAGCACCCATTTGTATGCCATAAACAAGTTTTGCATACCTTTTTTAAAAAAGAAAAATGTACAGTCATTGTATTATTAGATTAAATAAGGCTTTCCATAAAGGAGTTGTCTATATTTTACTTTTTTCTATGGAGGTAGAAAGGAGATCTGATTAAAGAAAACCTGATGCTCTAAAGAAAGTCTTGGATGTCAAAATAATACAGCCAAAGAATATATTTTAAAACCATTAAGAAAAAAGTCTGAAAACAAGCAAATATGTTATTAATGATTATACGTTGCAAAACTGTTGGACAATTAACTAATTAACTGCATGATTTACCCACTATGTCACATTCCATTCCTCTTGAAACCTACAGATGAATGTGTCAGTATTACTCTAGAGAGTCCTAAATTAATTTTTTAAATGCCATGCTCTTTTCCACCATCTTTAAAACAATGTCCATAGGTATTCTATTAGAAAAAAATGAAAATGGAAATAAAAATAAAATTGCTGACAGCTGAAAATGTTGAATTTGATTTTCTGCTTAGTTATTAATATTCAAAGCATTCCTTCTGCATAGGTCTTAAGACAGCAATCAACTACTATATACAAGGAGAAAATATGAAACAAATCTCATACCTTACATGTGGTTACTAAAATCATCATACGTTGCCAACAAATAGAAAATTGTTCTCTCAAACACTTCTTAATTATGAAAGAAGTTGACTAGAGATTTTTGCAACTCTCATAACTTGAGAAGCCGCAGCCAAGCTACAGCTCCAATAGCATACTGAGGTTTGGTCAACGTTTTTTGTTTGCACATTTTAGTAATTCTAAAATAGATACATAGGTGTCTCTGAGGCAGGGGATAAGGAAAGAAACATGTGTCATGATGTTGCATTGTGCTGTGATTCACAATACACTTTTCATCATTTTGATGTCATCATGGTTAGGAATGGATGCCTCCGGATGGAAGCGGGGGTAGAAGGAATAGCAGAGGCAGCCAAGAACAGAACTCTGCTTGTTGAGAGCAACTGTGTTCAACCTAAAAACTTAGTCTTAGGGTGGACATGGGCACAATGCTATCCTGAGCAAGTGCACATGACAGTCTAAACACATAGGGTACTGTAATATCATTTTTCCAAAATTATCCTTCCCATTTTTGACTTGCAAAATTCAGGAAAGAGATTCACTGAAGGATGGTATACTTCCCCAACAGTTTTTGGAAGTCCAAATAAAATGTATTAGAAAATGTTCTTGTCATAATTTTTGGCTATAGAAATACTGACTGAATGATACTGTTCTCACTGAAAAATAAAGACAATAACTGGCAATTAAAAAAAACAACAACAGAAAGAGTCAAAGCCATTGTTTGCTTCAAGAATGAATCTGAGTGTGAGGTGTAGTTACACTTTTATTAATGAGTACAGAAATTGGGAGGCATTTCACCAAATATTCTCCAAGGGAGGCTGAAATTCCCAAGAGTTTGGAAGTAGCTCAAAGAAGAGAACATTCAAACATTTATCAAAACATTAGCCACATTCTAAGTTATTTCATGAATCTTTTCACTCTTCTATGGAAGCAACAAAGAACTCGGTTGTCCTCACTGTTAAATATTCATGTATTTGATTGACTGCTATTAAACAAAATTACCATATGCATGAGCCACTATTTATCTTTATATTTTCATGCCACCTTTCGTATCTCAAAATGATCCACCACATTAATTTGTCATAAAATGAATTAATAGTCAAACATAAAATTCATAGTAAGATCTATTTAAAAATAATTTATTTCAATATTAGCAGAAAAATAACTGCAACAGTAAATAGTATCATTATCTAGCTCTTAAAACCAAATATAAACAACTAGGTCTCTAGACCTGGCTTTCAGTCAGTAAAGGCACTCACTCTGGGAAGAACAAGATGCCTATGGATGTTTATGCAAGGAAGGACTTTTTACCATGCTCTGCATCTTGTATGAAACAGTCATAATTTAGTCCTCAGACTAAACTGTTTCAGTTTGTATTAACCAGTTCCTCCTATCAGGAGCTCCAACAAACAAATAGGCTTGAACTGCTCCAATTTACCAGCGAATGTGAGAACTTGGACTTTTAGAGACATTTGCACAAAGAGTGATAATGTTCTTCCATTATTTCTGGAAGAACTAACTAATACAAGAGGCTTAAGTCAGCTTTTCCCAAGTTGTCCTGGAGGACGCTATAAAAATTATAATGGTTGGCATTCTAATGTTTTTCTTTCCCACTTTTTACTTCACATGAGCAACATATTACCAGAAATAATATTATAGATGCTCAAAATTACTTTTGAAAACATGTCTACATCACACACTTGACTTTAAAAGTAATTCTGTGTTCCTAGGGAACGCTGGTGGTTTTGTGAGAGAGATCAGGTAATCTCTGACAGAAAATCCTTCACAAACTATGATGTGCAAGATTCTGGAAAGAGAAAGCTATAATAATTTAAAGCACAAATATATCACATAGATTGGAGGATCTTCAGAGATTTCAGATTATAACTCTTATAAATCCCAGCCAGCATGAACAATGGTTGGACTGATGGTAATTATAGTCTAAAATATCTGAAGGGTATGAGGGATGTATTCCTTTATATAGCTTCCAACTCCCTAGCCATGGATCTAGAATGCCTTCAAAAATGCCACCAAATGCTAATCTAGATAAAGGGGGAAATGATTAAATATGTGGATATTCATATTTGTTTTTATCTTGGCCTCACCCACTTGTTGGAATGCATCCATGTGCATGCACACATGTACACACACACACAAACACATATTATTTCCAAGCCAAGAGTTCACCAAGAGCAGCCCTGAGCCTGAAATAGGTTTTCTATTGCTGGTAGAGACAGTGTATTGTGTGCAATGGTTATGAATGTGAAGTCCAACGATTAACAGGTAGAGCTACAAATTAAAGAAGATTTCTAGTTCCTCTTATCTCTGCCATGTGCCAGCAATCTTAGAGTAAGCCTGTGTCTGTGAAACACTCTGAACTACTGCATCCTCTTCCCGCTCCCCATTTCCAACACTATCATCAACACAGCCAAATGATCTCAATATTGTTTTGAAAAGTATATATTTCTTTGGAAAACAGGGGGAAAGCATTGGACTCACCTCACCCACACTCTTCATTGAGCTCCCAATCTTGTTGGATGCACCCTGAAAACGATCAAGGTCCCAGCGTGGTATCTTGGTTACTATGTAGTCCAAGCTGGGTTCAAAACAGGCAGTGGTCTTTCCAGATACTACATTCTCAATTTCTGGTAAAGGGATCCCAAGGGCTATTTTGGCAGCTATAAATGCCAAAGGGTACCTGGCATTAAGAACAAAAAGAAACATTTTCATATTGACAGAGGGTTAGAATCATAGGAAATCATAGAATCATAGGGTTGGAAGATATCTTGGAGGTCTTCTAGTGCAACCCTGTGCCCAGAGCAGGAATCCTCCAACCATCCAAGCTTTGGCAGAAAGCCTCCAGTGTTAGAATGCTCAAAGAATTGTCTATTAAAGTGGAACTATATGCAGCTCATCTAATAAATATTGAATCTTGGGCCCAGCTCATAGCATACGGGAGCAGTGCAGCTTCTTTTGACCATATTCCTTCAGCGTGTTTGAAGGACAGAAACATTGCATGATGTAGATATCTTGTACTGTTTAGGCTACAGCAAATGTTGTAGTAGAGAGTACTCATGTGATCTTGAGTACAGCAAATAAAACATGCTTGGATAATGGTTGGAAAACCATATTCATAGTAAAAGTATTCTATGTGCATTCAATAATGTACTAAGACGCAGATCAAGAAAATAGAGGCTGTTGGAAAAAAAGGACAGAAAATGCATTAAAAGCTTTTGCATATCATAGAATTGTACAGTTGGAAGAGACCACAAGGATCATCTAGTTCAGTGTTTCTCAACCTCAGCAACTTTAAGATGTGTGAACTTCAACTCCCAGAATTCCCAGCCAGCATTCTCCAACCAGTATGCAGGAATTCTGGGAGTTGAAGTCCACACATCTTACAAAGTTGCTGGGGCTGAGAAACGCTGATCTAGTTCAACCCTCCGGCAGCTACATAGTTTTCAGGTTTGGTCCAGGAAGTACACAGAGACCACATAACTTATTTTTCTTCAGGGCTTCAGCATTTCTCTGGCTTGCCCACGATTTGTGGAAGGGAATGTGTCCAGCATTCCTACTCCCAAGGAAAAGAAAAAGATCTAAGGTTACAGCACATTTTGTGCACCTACAGAATTTAATTTTACATTCCAGGCGACAAAGCAATCCTTGAAGGAAAGACATCAAAGCAGACATGCATGATAATCAAACAACTCTAGCAAGGATGTCCAGCCTGAGGGTGAGGGCTGCATGCATCCCTGGAGAGTCTCTCCAACACTAAATTATAAATGTTAACATAACAGAATTGGAAATTTATTAAATATATAAGGGCATTCATGAATTTAACTGAAATTGTGTTTTGACATAACCATCTATTTAAACATTTCCAAAGGCTTTGTAAAAACATTTCAAATGCTTCCCTTGCTTAATTGTTCACCCATGACTGTATCTTGCCTTACCCTGTGGCCTTCGATGCTAAGGCAGAGCTTCTAGAAAGGCGAGCATTGACTTCAATGATGCAGTACTCTAGAGAGGTGGGATTTAAGGCATACTGGATATTACACTCCCCCACAATGTTCAAGTGGCGGACAACCTTGATGGTTGATTTGCGTAGCATCTGTAACTCTTCATTTGAAAGGGTCTGGCTGGGAGCCACTACAACAGAGTCTCCTAATTGAAGAAGAAAAAAGGTGAAGAGCAGTGATCATGATTTAGTCTAACTGTGCAATGTTCAGTCTGTGTTAAAACTATAGACATATTTCTCAGCCATCAAACATTATCAGTAGACAATGCACAGAACTAAAATGCATGGGAATAGATGTGCTTAGTACTGGATGCCAATTTATTTATTTGATACAATTTAAAATAAATTAAAATTTGAAGCTTTGGGAGTGGACAATATACAAATAAAATACATACATACACACATGCATTATAAGACAATATTAAGAAGATGCTAAAATGCTGACCAACTATCAACAATCTTTTTTTTCCATGTATCTTGAATTCCATATATTTTTGATGAACCTGGATTCAACTTCTGTGACAAATAGCTTCATTCTACTGTACATATTTATCCATCTGTTGCAATAAAGCTCCAAATGAATGAGTCATTCCTTACAAATTCAATTTTTTTCAAGGGTACTTTATGCTATTGATGCATACTAGAATTGTGCAAAGTATTTGAAAGAGGTGATTCATGAAGTATGGGAGTGCATTAAAAAGACTTCTTTGTAATTGTTAAAGCAGCTTTGTCATCTATATATCTCAAGCAAGTCAAGGCTTAAACTTCACAAATAACACGGCTGCTTTAATGATTCAAAGAAATATGTTTTGCTACATGCTCCCACACCTTGCAAAGCACATCTTTAGAATGCTTTGCGTAACATTAATAACTATCTACCCTCCTAAATAGAGGCTCTGCTGTGCTATGAAATGAAGTGCCTATGATTCTGTGGAATCTCCTTAATTGGAAGTCTCAAGATGTAAAACAATTGCAGATGTTTAGGAATGCAGCAACTTGACTTTTCCAACTCAATGGAGCCTCCAACCTGACTACAAATCCTATGCACATTGGGTAGAAAATTAGTCCTACTGAACTCTGTCAACCTTCCTTCCACATTAATATACAGTACATGGGATTCAATTCCCATTTCGTTTTTGATCATATTCAGTGATATTAGATTCAAATATCAACTTTAAATTGACCATGTTCTTGCATGCTGCATGGAGACATCACAATATCTTATCAGTTGAGTTGACATAGGAATACTTATTGCAACTTTTAATGGTACTTCATGCAACTCACACAAATACTTGAAACATATCAAAAAACTATCAGAAAACCAAATGTTTAATGTTTGCCCAATGTTATCATAAAATTCACAAATGACAAATAAATGGGACTCAAACTGAGCAGGTACATACCTATAAATATCTTGGAGTGCAGTTCCATGCTTCTCTACCCTTTTTTTTTAACCAGGCAAGTGTCACACAGCATATCTCTACAGCTATTGTAAGATTTTGCCACTCAAAAGGAGCCCATTACATCCCTGCAGCTTGCAAGGTTTTCCAAGCTAAGGTAGTCCCTCAGCTTCTTTATGGCTCCCAAATTTGCCCTTTTGCAAAGCTTAACATTCTTGAAATTATTCAAAATAAGCTAATTAGAGCCATACTGATGGTTCCAACAAGTATCAAAAATGCCATCTTACACGTAGAAACAGGTATAATCTTGATGGATGCTAAAGCGTCGTTTCTTCTTATTACCTTTTGGCTAAATTAATCCTACTTCCTATAGGTTTGGACCCATTAGTACTTAGAGATTGTTTTAAATCACTGTGACTTCAAAAAGCTCTAGATAAAATTCATTTACTGGGCTTCTCTATGGAAAGTTTATGCTCATTAGGTTTTGATAATGCTAGAACTGCCCTCAAACAATGAATGTGGGTTATAGATCTCCAAATTTAAGCAAGGTGTCATAGCCTAATATTTATCATATTCTTCCAAAAGGGTTTGCTCCACCCTTCTATTTATCATCCATTATGATTCTGAATTTTTAAGAATTCACTTTAACCAGGCTGGATGCATTGCCCTCAGCAGTCCTTTTTGGACATTTTAAGGGTACTCTTATGTATCTTCAGTTATGTCCATGTGGTCATGGCTCAATAGAAACTCTAAGCCGCGTGCTACTATATTGCTCCCCATATAAGCATTCTAGACAGAACTTCATTGATCCAATCTTGAAGAAATTTCTGGATAGGGAGTATGAGTTCTACTTAATGTTACTTCTTTTGGACAAGGACTCAAAAATATCTTCCCAAGTCATCCAGTTTTGTGCTACAATCTGTACAATACACTGCACCATTAATTACTGTAAGTTTGGAACTTCTTGTAAAACTATTGTTATTCTGTTTTATTTTATTATATATGTTCTTAACTATTTTTAGACCCTATTATACTTATTGTTTTTCTGTTATATAAAGAAGTGTATAACAGCTCTACTTTTAAATATTCTTTTGTAATAAACTGATTTGATTTTTTAATTGTTTTTTGTAGCCTATGTTCAGAACCGTTGGAAGATGGTTCTGGAGGTTGGAGAGGGCATTTGATGTTGAAAATCTCTGAGGCTGGATTAGGGAAATTGGATCAATACTATAGTCCCAGAGATGCCAGCACTAAGCCTTGGGATTCCAACAACAAAGTATTAAATAATAACATCACAAACCTACCCGTATGAACTCCCATTGCATCAACATTTTCCATATTGCAGACAGTGATACAATTGTCAGCTGCATCTCTCACAACTTCATACTCAATTTCTTTCCATCCTACCACTGATTTCTCCACAAGGATTTGATTGGTCATTGCAAATGCCTTTATGATTACAGAGAAAAGAAAGTCACAAAGCCTGCATAGATGTGTTAGAAAATTAACATTTTCTTGAAAAATGGCTGCTGTCAAAGGGCCATTTCCATTAGTAAAAAGAGCTTTGCAAGAGCAACTGGGCTACATACAGAAGTGCACAATAACTTCAGTGAAATTTTCCAAAAACCTACTTATCATCATGCATTAAATGATTCCTTTTTATTTAGATCTCCTCAGTGACTGAACAAAGATTATATGGTTCTCTATTAGGATGCTGATCCCTCCCAAGAGGCAAACAACAGGAAAAGACCATCACCTTTCTCCCCCGTTAAACTTGCAGAAATATCTGGCCTGCTTGTTGTATTCAAATCTAACCCTACCACCTGGCAGAATGAGGTGGTCAGTGCAGATGGCAGATGCCAAAGCCCTAACACCACAATCTAGCCAGCAGTTTTTAGTTAAAACATTAGTCTTTTGTCACTGCTGAAGAAAAATTCAACTGTCAGCCCAACTGACTTGTGCCTATGGAACTAGAGTAAGATGTCTAATAATCTAGTTTGGGGTGATTTCTGGTTATCTAGTTACTTAGATGCAAATGTGCTATGCTTTCCTTCCTGACTCTAACTTTCCAGAGGTTACAACTTGATGATGTCATTTTGTATATAATACAGGTGGGCATTATATTATTCTGCTTCCTTTCAATAACTGTTATAGCATGATTCTGTTCATCATGACTACATAACAATGTCTCTAGTACATCATGTAGTAATGATGTCTCTTTAACCTTCACTAAACTGGAAACAAGCAGGCTATGATCCTAAGGTCTTTCAATGACAGAGGCCCTCCCTATGGCTATTTTTGTAATTAAGGCAGAGATTTCCAAAGCTGATAAAGGATGAGACCCTCAAAGAGTTACAGTATTTCCATAATCTGTTACTGAGGTTGTTTCCTTGTTCATATTTTGAGATACCAATGACTTCTTCCACATAATCCATCCAAGTGAGGATCCACCCTTCACTTTTCAGAGATAGCAAGTTTTATAACCTCACTAGACAGGGCACCCAAATAAGGTAAAAAATCTTCTCAATATTATTCACTTTACCCTATGGTATATTTCTTGTTGAAGGTTTGGTTTATTCTACAGAAGGTTATCTGTCATCCCAAAATACCATAAAAATATTAAGATTTTAAACATTATTGGATATTGATTGCTTACTAATCGCACCATCATAAAAAAAATATATCAACATGAAAAGCTGAAAATGGATAAACTAATTTTCAGGCTGAATTTGCTAGTTGCTTATAAGATATGTAAATTAACATTGAGAAATGTAGATTAAGGTAAAAAGAAATGGAATGCTGCTTTGCTTAGTAAAGTAACCTAATTTTCTAAAAATTATTTTAGAATTTCTACTCAAACCATAGCCTTTGTTATTATTTTGGGGTGATGATTTTTAAATAAATTCCAATTTACATATTTTTGCTATCATCTTTTATTATTGATACTTATGGCAGTTTTTATATCTATTTTATAGATTGATTATCTTTTTTTTTTTTAATAAGTAGTTACAGTTATAAGGGAAACATACTTATTTAACTTAAAATAGCTGCACCAAAGAGGTAAGGTCTATAATACAGACCTCCTTCTTCTTCAGCATTTGGTGGACTCAGAGCAGTGTTAAAATAATTTGCCAAAGCACTGATACTCAGATTGAAATACAGCTGGTATCTGATGTTTCCATAGTATACTAACAAAGATGCTGAAACTGAACTTCCAATGTACACTCTGTCCAACATATGGCCTAAAACTCTGCCTGCTGTGACCTGATTTCTATCTTTGATGAGCCCTGGATTCCAGATGTGATACCAAAATACTACCAAAGAACAGCCAGAATAATACCTTGGTAGCAAGATCCAGGAGATGTTCCTTGTCAATACATAAACCTGATCCTAGTCCTCCCAAGGCATAAGCTGAGCGTATCATAACAGGGTAGCCAATTTTTTCTGCTGCTTCCAAAGCATCTTCTATCTGCCATAATACAAAAATGAACAGAAAACAAGATAACAATAGATAGGAAATCTCTCAGCACCTAAAATCTTTGAGTATCATCCGATTACTGTATAACATGCTACAAATAGACCTGTGGATGCCAGTCAGGTTAATACTTACTATTTATGTTTGGACAAAATGGTAGATAAATTTAACTCTAATAACTTTCCTGAAAAAAATCTGGGAAAGATAAGTTTGTTGAAGATGATAAAAAGACTTCATTAGATAATTTTACACATTCCAGTATACATACCTCATGGGAATGGATGACAAGATTCCCTTTCATCACCTTATGACTAACTGACCACAAGCAGCAATGGTAGGTAGATATTTAAGGATTTACTCTAGACTCCCTCTTTATCATTCTCCCTGTTCTTTATCTAAGAAATTGCTAACTTTGCTCACTTCCTTTTGCCTTTCTTCTCAGGCATACATACAGAAAGCATGAACCTTTTCATTCTTCTCTTGCTAGGATGTTGTTAGCTAAGTGTTAGACTTTGTCTATTTTTCCTTAAGCAAATCTCTTTTCTGTTATAATTATGAAACCTGCTTCACTAAGCATTGCTCAGGTCAGATTTCTGCTCTCAGAAATGTTTAAATGCCCATACTTCCACTTATAGTTCCAACAGGGTTATGAGCCCAGGAATAAAATGAATGTACAAAGAGCTTCCATAAAGGAGAGAGAAAGGGTAAGTCTCTTGAGCAGTTAAAAAAGTGATTAGAAAATAAAATAGCCAATTTCAGAGATGGAGTCATGATAAAGTTGGAATGATCTACCTGAGAGTGAGCAAGTCCATTTAAGGGAAAGCTATTTGGAAAATCCTCCCAGTCTTATATGAGAATTAATTTTGTAATAAACTGCTTGCAAAACTTTGATATGTATAATGCTGAAAGACAGGATGTGGCTTTCAGTGAAGAATCTGCCTAGAAGGTTCCAGCGGTTGACAAATCAACTGCCCTAAGATTGGGAGACAGGACAAACCTGTTAGACCACACCTTGATCCACTATAAAATAAAAAGATTAAAGCAATTAATGTGAGAACTGGTGGGCTACTAGAGGGTATCAGTTTGGATTCTGAGGCAACCTCTGATTTTATTTTAAAAAGAAGAAGCTATATAGGACAGAATAAATGAATACATTATTTGGAAAATAGACAAAAGTCCACCTAAGCTGGAACAGCTTCATAAAATTCCATTGTGCATTAGGCAAAGGACAGATGCTCTATTTAGCAATTAAAGATGCCTTATATCACCCAGATTGGGAGTCAAGTAAAATGTATTACACAGAAAGGACATGATAATCATTATTACTATGATTAGAGAAATGTTTGTGAGAGGCACTCCCCTAAAAAATAGATTATTTGAATTAAACCTTGCATATCATAAAGCAAGATCAGCAAATTGCAACCACAAAAATAGCTTACATTTGTGGCATCAGAGGATGGAACACAGAGATCCAGATGCTGTTTCTAAACTGGATGCTTTAGTCAAAGGAATAACATTAAAGGTATGTGTCTAAATCAATCCAGATGTGCATGTTGTATAATGGAAAAAGGCATAAATCAAAGAATATGGAGATAAAAGGAATGAAGCCATTATATGCACAGTGACATTTGGGGTCCTATGCATGTCACCACAACAGATGGAAACAAAAGTATCCTAATGTTCATAGGTGATTTTACAAGTTACACATTTTATTACATGCTCAGTGAAAAGTCAAGTGCTGGAGAAATTTAAAGAACATGTGGCTTTAATAAACAATACATTTTGAAGAAATCCTCAAGTACTATGTACAGTCAATGTGAGGTGCTCATAAACAAGCAACATGCAAAGGTACTTGAAAGAGCAAGGGATTGCACATGAAACCACAATGGCCTGTCCTCCAGAACAGAATGGCAGAGAGGATAAATCATTCCTTGACTGAGATGATGAGGCAATGCCTCAGGTTGCAGAATAAATACAGTAAAGCCATTATGTGCAACACAAACTTTCGTGGAAAGCCATAGATGCAGCAGAAAAAGCCCAGCCATAGAAATATTCACTTCTAAAGTTTATGTATATGTGCCAAAAGTAAAGAGAACCAAGCTGAACTCATCATGAGTCATTATTCGATACCTATAATACTGCAAAGAATCTGTGAGCCTAGATCGTACTACTGTATACAACTATTAAAGTACACAGCATTGCTTACCAAGCTTTGAAATATTGCATGGCAAAGCCATAAGGAGAAACTGAGACACCACAGCCCAGATGCTCCAAGTAGTGAACCAAAGGGGCTCCACCAGAAAGGTTATCCTACACTGCCATGAGGGAGCTAGTAAAAGAATTCCATACTGTACATGGAAGGACATCAAAAAGATGTTAGCCACTAAAGAAACAAATGGAGAAAATCTGCAGAAAAGGAAATTGAAGAGTTCCACAAAATGATACTTGGGAATTTGTTAAGCTACATGAAAGGGAAACAACCCATGGGAAACTACCCACAGGGATGCAAACCATGGAGTATAATGGAGAAGGAGATGTCCAGTGCCGTATAGTGAGACCCCAGGCCAAGGGTCATAACAGAAGTATGGTGAGGACTATGATGAGACATTTGAACCAGTAGACAAGCATACAGCAGTAAGATGCATTGCTTCATGGAGAAATCAAGGAAGACATCTGCATGCAGAAAGTACCTGGTTTTGAGGAACTAGGAAAGAAAACTCTGGTATGCAAGCTTCAGAAGAACAGTTAAGTCTGGAAGCAAGCATTGAAAACCTGGAATGAGAAGCTGAGCAGATGCTTATCAACCAAGGCTTTGCACACAATAATCCTTGTTTTTATTTAAGATTCAGAAACAAAAGATGTTTCTCACTTTTGTGGATGATTTAATTACCTGTTACTAAGATAAGAAGGATAGCCAATAGACTATTTTAAAAAAACCTTCAACAAGGAAATAAAGGTGAAAGGACTTGAAAGCGTATTCAACTACCTTGGCATCCAGATAGAAAGAGAGCAAAATGGAAGTTACCACCCTCATCAAAGATCTTCCTGAATGCATAGGGCTAAGTTAAGCTAACAAAGTCAGTAAAAACTGTCTTCCTAAAACAAACTGCAAACTCTGAGTCCCTGTCTGAAACTGACAATTACAGAACTAGAACTGGGAAGCTGTTATACAAAGCCACAGTGACAAGGCCAGTCGTTACTGCAAGAGTCAGAATCCTGTGTAATCAAAGGGGACTGGGCTGGAGTCAGGAACGTGGACTTAAATGGCACGGCAAGTTAAACCTCAGACTGCAAGTCAAACTTCGATATAGACTGTCTGGGCAGAAGACAGGGTAGAATGAAAGTCCACAAGGAGACAGCTGTTTCTGTATGTGGATGGGGTGATCAGCTAGCAAGCAGAAAGCAGTCAGTTGTCCTATCATCCACTGAAGCAGAGTACATATCTGCAGCACAAGTCAACCAAGAAATCATGTGGCTACATAAACTGTTAATAAGCTTTGGGATAGATGAACCAAAGCCAACAGTCCTACAGGCAGTCCTTGTTTAGCGGCTGCCTTGTACAGCAACCATTCACAGTTACCACAGTGATAAAAAAGTAACTTTGCAACCAGTCCTTGCATTTATAACCTTTGCAGGTCTGTACAGCAAAGGAAAGCTGAAGATCATAAGCACAATCACAGTTTCACTTAGCAACCACTTTGCTTAATGACCAAGTTGCCCCTCCCAATTATGGATGCTGAACGAGGACTACCTGTATTTGAGAACAATCAAATATGTATTAAACCAATATTATGTATTAAACCCATATTAAGCTACTGGGGAAAATACATTCATTTTATGTCCCAGTTGGTAGAGAAAAAAATATTGTGAGGGGTTCTGCTTTCATATTCTTGTTAGCTGCACAGCTGAAATTACTAATATGACATTCATACTCCATGAATGTATTGATTATTAGCAGCAGTTCATTACTTTATCGACTTCAATAGGATAAAAACCATTCTGAGATAATTGTTAAGTTGGGTTAACATTAAAACAATATTAAAAATTAATAAAAGTTATTTGCTCAAGGACATTTGCCCCCAAGTGAAACATAAGAATGGATCTGAGCTCTAAACTTCCTCTGCATTTAGCATGCTGCGAATGCTAAGTCACATTATCTGGCGCTATTGTCCACAGAAGAACTAAGCTGGGGTAGGGAAGAAGGGAAAGGGGGCAGGGTTCTGCAGTGCCTCTTCTCTGCTTGTCCTGCCCCCTGGCCAGCATTGCGCTGATCAGCCTGTGATGAAGGACTGTGAAGGAATGACTCCCTCTTGGGGTGGAGTCAGAGGCTAAGCTGTATGGCATGGCAGTACCTTTATCTTTCATCTTGTAAGGTTTTGGGGAGACAAAGTTCACCACAGCAGTGCCACTATTCATGCACACACAATGTAAAGGCAGTGGGACAAATAATAGAGTGAAAGAGGAAACTTTCAAAATATAGCATAGACCTGCCTGCAAATGGGATGCTGTATTCCCTTCACTGGAGTAATGCTTTATTCCTGCCTTCTTCATAAATTCATGAGTCAAAATATATTTAGAGCAATGATAAGTGGGGAAATAAATCCTGTCCCCACAATTAGGATGGCATGGCCTCCACACTTACACACATCTCTAGTTCAGCCATTTCAAACTACCACCAGATTTATTATTTTAAATCTGATTTACCGATTCCACAGCATAGCTGGGAGCAATCTTCTCATTAATTTCATTCAGTTTGTCCGAAAACATCTGCCTGTCCTCAGTGGCCATGATAGATTCAACTGATGTTCCAAGGACCTTCACTCCATATTCTTGCAGAATGCCACGTTTAAACAGTTCCACTCCTGTACACAGAATGAATTGGAACAATTAGTATCCAAAATGTTCTGAAATCTTTCCTCCTCAGCTAGTGATTTTTTAGCTATGATGGAGAAGTGAAGGTGGGCCATCATGTTACATACAGGGACTAGCTGGATATAGGGCCAGCTGGCATGAATCCACTCCAATCCTTTTCTGGAGGAAGAAAAGTGGGAGTTAGTTATTTCTACAATTTATATGCCATTCCATTTCCAGAGACTCTGAACAGCATATAATATTATTGTTAGAAAATTAAAAACAAAAATCAATTAATGCAATTACGTATAACCAGTCAGTCCCATGCACCACCTTTTGAGGTAGCATCCCCAAATGCCTTTCTGAAGAACATGTTTTTATACCTTTCTAAAAATGTAGCAAGGAGGAGGGTCAAGATATTTGAGAGTAAGCTGTTCTAAATTGGGAGGGGGGATCACTGGGAAGGCTCGAGCCCAGGGTCCCTGAAGATGGTATTCCCTCAGTGGTGGAACTCTGTCAAGCCCATGGAACTGGCAAATCAAGGAAACAAGAACCAATAGAAGAGAAAATATGTAGCTCAGGGTTGAATTATGGAGTCCTTGGGGTTCTCTGAGCTTGGTTGTTTTCTTCCAGATGTTTTGTTACCCAGCTAGGTAACTTCTTCAGTGCTAGAAGGGAGTGGGGTTTGCTAGGTTTGCTGCAGGCAAACCCCACTCCCTTCTAGCACTGAAGATGTTATCTAGCCAGGTAACACGTCTGCAATAAAACAACCAAGCTCAGAGAACCCCAAGGACGCCACAAAATAAGAACTGCATGGATTCCTGGAAGGGTGAATTCCCAGCTAGTTAATTAAAGCACAATCTCTTTGAAATGCTTCCTTCCCCATCTCTTACATCTGGACTGTGTTGCCTTTTCTCACAGATAAAGAATGTTCTCAGCTGCATTACAGAAATCCCATAACTTACCACAGTTCAAAGCAGTTTGTCCACCCATACCAAGAATTAATCCATCTGGTCGTTCTGCTTTGATGACTTCTGTAACAAAATGTGGGGTGATTGGAAGGAAATAAACAGTGTCAGCCTGCTTTAAGCCAACTTCATTCGTCTGAACTGAGGCAATGTTGGGGTTCATCAGAACTGTTTTCACATTTTCTTCCTAGAAAAACAAACCAAAATGAATTTACATAAGTAAATCCAAAGTTACAAAGAAAGATTAAATAATAGGGCCATGCTGTCAGTACTTTGATTTAAAGGTAAAAAGGGCTTTTGCAGTACTCGGGAGTGCTCATCTAGCAGCTGGCTGCATCTCCTTAAAGCAGCTGCATCATTTCATAGGTTTGTGCAGCTGCCCTTTAAAAGAATTAAAATAAATCACAGGAAGGCCCATAATCGCTGTAGTGCTTAGGCACAGTTTGCATTGTAGAGTCCTTGGGGTTCTCTGAGCTTGGTTGTTTTCTTGCAGACATTTCATTACCTGGCTAAGTAACATAGCACTGAAGATGTTACTTAGCCAGGTAGTGAAACGTCTGCAAGAAAACAACCAAGCTCAGAGAACCTCAGGGGCTCTACAGTTCAACCCTGAGCTACAGATATTCTCTTCTATTGGTACAGTTTACATTACTGTACCATGCAAACAGTCTTGACTACATTACTGTTGTAAATCATGCTGCCAGAGGCAAGGACACCAAGAACAAGTGTCATTTCTAGCAAGGCTGATTAGCAACAAATCAAGACAGCCGACTGATAGTGAAAAAGGAGGTCAAGCTAGCAAGATGGAAAATGTTCCAGTTAAGAAACTGGAAAACAGAACGTTTCTTAACTCTAAAATGGAAAGCAAGAGAATAGAGGAGGGGGAGGCAAGATTATTTTTGTTATCAAGAAAAACCCATTTTTCCTTCTGGTTTGCTATCTTCAGACAATATCTCTGTGAAGTTGTCCTTTCCCATAGGCTGACTTTAGTGGTCTCAGTCACTTTGCCAGTTCTACGGGCTTACCAATGTTCCTGTTATGTCAACCAAGCATCAGCTTAATCAAACACTGAAAGTCTGGCCTGGAGAATTCAGGGCTTCCCAGTCTTCATAATTGTAAGCATATTTTCCAGAAATTGGGAAAAAAACACTGTACCCCATGCAAACCATTGGACTCACTTCTTACACTACAAAATATAACAGAAAAAAATCTAGCCAATGTTAAGCTTCTTTAAATGCTGTTGGATTCAATAGATAAGACCTAAAACAAGTCTTTAGTTCTCATACTGAACTGAAAATAGAACTGAAAAATATTTCACTTTGGGTGGATCATGCTCATTTTCTCAGAAGAGAGAATTGATCTTTGCAACCAGGAATCTGATGGGTTTCTTCCCTCCCACCCCCCACTTTTAAAGAAAAAAAAATGAATGAAATCACATTTTGTAGCCCTTACCTCATACTGTGCTATTACAATTTTAATCTCGTTGTTGGAAAAATATTATGCAAAAATCCAAACATGAGCACCGGTGAAAGATTCCTTCATCCTTAACTGCGTGTACAGTGGAAAACCTAATTATCACCCCATTTATAGAGTTATTCCCTGTAAGATATGTTTCATAAATAATTCAGGGCTTTCAAAGTCTGTCACTTGCTTCTGCAGATACAGGTCTCATACAAAGTTGCAGATAGGGTCATAATACTCTATTTTTGCCGCATCACCAGAATAACTAGTAGTTTATTGTAATAACATACATAAATTCTGAACGTCTCAGTGAATTTAGCCTACATGATGATTTGTGCTCTGGCTAACACAGGGACCTGTTACCTATCAGCTGCTACATTATTTACAATATTCTTTGCTCTCCCATTCTGGGAACAGAGTAACAGATACCAAGCTGAACTTGGAAAATAATAAAATGCATTTTTTCACAATAAATCAGTGGGGCTGAACTATCTTTATCACAAACAAGTACTACAACTACTACATTGTGTCAAAGATTTTATAAAAACAGAACAAACTCCTACTGTTTGAAGGATCAAGAACGGCTACGGCACATGCCAATATTTCAATGTCCTCATTCTTACCTTCATGGCTTTCACAGCCTGGGAGCCAGAATAATCAAATTCTCCTGCTTGACCAATAGACAAACCACCAGATCCTAGGATGAGAACTTTGGAAACCTGGAAGTAACCAGCAAGTATCTGAGGTTACATCAGCATGTACATTCTCAGTCTTCTTAAATCAAGGAAGCTGTGTCCTAACCTCTTTCTTTCAAACAGGAATAGCCAATGCTTCCCTTTCAACTCTCTGTTCTCGTTGATTGCATATTTGCAATGAGAAAGACGTTAATTTTTAAGCACTTCTATCAGCTTTTTCCAACACTACTTACTACTCTGGGTAGCTAGCCAGCTGGGAGTTCTTGAAGCTCTAATCTTAACCAATCTGGAAAAGCTACACAAGTCTACCCCTTGGATGGAAAGCTTCTTGCAAGTGACTGTCCCCATTATTTAGACCATTTCATTAGAGTGGATGGGACTATTTCCCCCCTCCCCCCAACGCATATTGGTTAAACAAGCAACCAGTTCTAAGGAAGTTCTCGGATTGAGGAATAAGCATTTGTTAGGCTGCCCATTCAAGCAAATAGCAAGCTCGCCAACCTTCCTTGCAGCGTCTGACAAGACATTGTAAGAATCACTGTTGTCCAAAGGAGAACCTCTTTAAAGAACTATTCACTTCCAGTGGCAAAACCCAGAACTAAAATCCTGTAGTGAAAAATCAGCTGTACTTGGGACATATCCAGTAGGGGTATACAAAACATTTTGACCTCAAAACATTCGAATCTCAAATCATTAATTTCGTTTCATGCCTGGAACATTCAAAAGTGTTGTATAAGTGTTCCAACCATGAAACAAACAACAACTTTTCTATTGTGAAACGAAACTTGGCTGTATCAAAACGCACACTTCTGAGTGCTCCAACTATGCTGAGCACTTCAGTTTGGCGATTATTTCAGAAACAGTGAAGGGGCTCCTTTTTTTCAGCTTTTTTCCAGTTTAGCCAGTACAGCAACAGGGACTAGTCATATTCCTGCTATTACTGGTTTAGACTGGTGATGCAGGTAAGGAGTGTTGAAAGGAGAGAAACACATAAGCACATGGCCAGAGAGAAGGCAGCCAGCAGCTGCACGCCGCCAGACTACCTAGGAAGGTGTTGCTGTTTTTTCAAAGTTTGCTATGGGAAACGTTCATGGTTGGCTTCCATGGGTGTTGGTGCCGTACTTTATTTTTCAGACAGGTCATGCAAAGTTTGGGGGCTTGTCTGTCTGTGCTAGTTTACTTAGCATGCAAGTATCACGAATGCTGCTGAGGTGGTAGAAATACAGTGCAAAGATTACAAGGCTGGTTTATTGAACCTTAATAGGCATGAGCACTTGGTGCATGCTCTGGCACCTTGCTGCAACGGTCAATATTATTGATGCCATTAAGATACATCAGCAGCCATCCCCCACCCCCCCACCCCGGTCC